CTTCCTAGCTCCCCAGATATTTTATATCCATAATCTCATTCCATTTTTAAACCCAATGAAGTTACTTTTTATACTCTAGTTTTAAAAATAGCTAAAAATAAATTAGGTAACTTGTGAAAACCTTTGGATATCATTTGGCAAGTTAACACTTAACCACTGCAGGATACCTGAGCCTAGTTTTGGTGCAATCGTTTATAATATTATATACAATTTCTTATAAGAAATGGAGGCACAATGGTGAAGACTAGATTATAGATGCATTTGAATTTTAAGTTTTAATAACTTACATATATTTTCAGAAAACACTTTGTTGTGTGTGTGTGTTTTTCATATTTCTTTATGGACTTCTTTCCATTGTTATTTAAAATGGGCTCATATCCAAATGCTTTCTTTAATATCCTAGCAGATTATATATATGTAATTCAGAAAACCTGGGACTGTCCAGTATGAAAGATAAAGTAATCAATATACATTCACTAAGTATTTCAAGGTACCTTTCAACAAATAAATGAATTTTACTTTCACTAGATATGAGTTAAGTTAACATGTATTGCTACCAGAGTTCCAATTTATACATTCATGAGTTTATTACAAAGAAAAAATGCTTAAACATGCTCGGTGCTCAGTGAATCCCTTCGGCTGGATTTATTCAGGAATACACTCATCATAGTCTTGTTAGAGTCCCTTAAAAACCAAACAAATGTTGTGGCAGCTATTTTTCACCTGAGAAGTGAATAGCTTTTTTCTTGAAACAATTTTTACATCTTGAAATCAGTCTCTTCCCTTCTTACTTTAATGTACATGAACCTGAGCCAAATCACAGTGCGTTTCTAGCGTTTGGCATACAGTGGGCAATGTTATGTGAGCTTCAGGTATTGGTGGCCAATGCTTATGAAGTATGCGGTACCAAGCATTTCACATTTGGATTTCTTTCTTTCTTTTTGCTTTAATAGTTTTTAATTAAAAAACATTTTTTTAAGGCAAAATAAGAGTAGCTCCCAGTGGTCTGCTGGCTCAGTTACATTCAAGGCAGGGCAGTCAGTCATAACTCTTTGGAGACTGTTTTTAAGGATTCCAGAAGGATAATCTTGATAAATTGTCCCTACAGATGATTACAGGGGCATATTATAAATAAATTTTAAGACACTTGAAAACTAAAATCAGGAGGAAAAATCCAGAGAAGTTATAACAATGGATTTTTATTTGCTTGGTCTTACAACATTTTTGGAAGGTACTTGTGACAAGTTTGCACTCAGTATTCTCCCATGGCCTGACCTAACAATTGAGTCAAAGTACGTGAGTTGTAAGTCTAAGTACTGGGATAAGATTTAGGTGGAATGCAGAGCCCTTACCCAGGTCACAGCTTTGATGTAATTACGTAGTTGCCTCAGAGGCGTATCCTGCTTCCGGTGTCAATAGATCCTGCAGCTATTTCAAGAAATGGCCTGCCATATTGCCTACCAATTCTGGGAATTGTCAGAAGTCTGCCATCTGCCCTTCAACCTTGGCTTCCTTTGACTCTGCAACCACAAGCCTGACCAGCCAGCCTTGTATTCATCTCCTTCTGCAGCCACCAGCCTGTGGCCTTCCCAAGATCCTGAGTTCATCAACTTGTGCAAATACAAGAATCCAGAGATGCCTTCAACTTAACATGTGAATCACAGACTTAGAACCTGCCTGGACTTTGATTTGTTGGCTTCCACACTTTGTGAGCCATTTTCTTGATATAACGTTATCTCTATATACATATACCTATATAAGTGTGACTAGTTTTGCTTCTCTAGAGAACTCAGCCTGAGACAGTAACAATGGTTGTCTCATGAGCATTTCCTTGGGAAACCTTACCCCATCCATGCTACAACTCTGATCTTGGCTCTTTTTGTTCAAAAAATTCAAAGGTCACTTCTTTGTTTGTTTGTTTTTTGTTAGTTCAAGGACTGTTTGTTGGCCATTAGGAGTGTTTTCCGGTCAAGTCTGATGGGGCACCAAGCCCTGGCCCCAAAGTCTATTTTTGGTATTCCAAGGGGACTTCGTTGCTCTCAAAGGTCATTTTTAAGAACTACAATTTGAGTGCCTCTAAGATACCCAAACGGGCATTTTAGTGTGACGCAGAAGAAGAATGTAAAATGATGTGGAGAGAAGTTAGAAGGATAGAAACCCCACCTGCAGAAGTATACAGACATAGATGAAGAATATGTTGAGAAACAATAGCTTCTTTTGTTGTCATTTTCCTTTGCGGAATATTTCTATGATGTGATAGCAATACTTTTTTACTTAGATGAATTTATTCACTCAATAATTAATTCATTAAAAATATGTATTAAGTGCCTCTAACATGTGACTCACACCTTGGAATATTCTAAACAACTTATCAACATAGTCTGGAAATGTTGGAAGAGGCAGAATTATGGACCGTGTCTCATTGGGATGATAGATTTGAAGATGTCCAGTGGGAGCGAGGACACATGATAATAGCCTGTCATGTATAAACGTTGGTTCTCTTAAGTCAATGGTTGCATGCAGCATAGCTAGCATGACGCAGGGCCATAAAATAGGTGGAGACACACTTCCCTGTTGGCATGGGGGGTGGGGAAAATACCCTACATGGAGTCCGAGAAGAAACAAACCTCCAGTTTCAGAGCAATGGCCTATTGGGTATGCTATGAGTGTGAGGGTACAGCTAATTACCAGTCTTGCATTAGAATTTAAACATGTGGTCTCAGACATCATATGGATAGAACTGAATCACAGTGTCATAAGCAGTCTAACCACACATTTGACGGTATACTAGGTAATTTGAGTTACTAAACTTATAGACTAGTTGTTTCTGACAACGGGAAGAATTGGTTTCTGAAACTGGGGTAGAGCTGACAAAGCCTGGATGGTGACTAAGAACAGTTGACACGCTGCTTTCTTGTGAGTATTATGGGAAATTACAAGTCAATAAAAGATTCAGTTACTGTTTTATGATATGCTGAGATTGAGTTGATAAAGGAGGTCCTATATATGTTATTCATTGATTACAAGATACACACACACACACACACACACACACACACACACACACACATTCTGCCATTGAGTTGATGGCAACTCATGGTGACCCTATAGGACAAGGCAGAACTCCTGTGGGTTTCAGAGATCGTAACTCATTACAGGAATAGAACACCCCATCTTTCTACCATAAAGTGGTTAGGAGTTTCAAACTACTGACCTTGTGGTTAGCAGCCCACTACATAACCACTACACTATCAGGGGTCCCCAGATAGTTTACAGACATAAAAGCATAAACCAGTACAGGACGAATAGTAAACAAATATAGTAAGGACATTTACATTAATAAATATAAACTCAAACAATTTCACATTTCCCCCTCCCTCCTAAACAACACTTCGACCCAAAGTATTGACATGTGGAAAAGCTGAATCATCACTAATCTGGAAGTTATCAGTGAAGAGAAAGAAGAAAAATAAAAGAAAAAAAGCAGTACTTTTCAGCTCCTGGAAAATAAAAAGCTTATTGCTTATAATGCTATGATAGAAAACTCATAATCACATTATCTTTCTCACTGGTTTTACTTTGGCAAAACCAATGTTGCTTGATACTTTAAACTCCCAGTGTGAGGTCCATGAATAGTTGCTGTGGAACATTCTCACGGTGAAGTGAAAGAAATAGGGCAAGGCTCACATGCCACACAGTAACATAAAGCCAAGCAAGGCTTTTCAAATAGAATGGCTTGTACGGCTATGGTGTATATATTTTGATGATATTGATTTTAAAAATGCATCCGACAAAAACAGATAACCGAGCATTGTAAACTGAGTACTTGCTCTTGCTGAACAAGGAAAACACTGTCCCTAGGTCTCAACAAGTTTGAGGTTACGTTTTTGCTTTCTTTCCTCCACCCCCCCAACCCTGCCCTATATTCGAATGAACAGCATCCAAAGCAGTCAACCAGCATTTGATTAGTGCAGCCACCTGGAACAAGAGTCTTGCTGTTATGTTTTAGCTGCCCCACTAAAAGAAATAAATTCTTTTTCAAAACCAGATGAACAATTTGCCTCATGCCAACCCCGAATGATCACTCTTCCCAGGCAACATCAATCCTCAGACCTGAACTAATCCCATTAATTCCACAAATTATATTCCCTGAGATCGGCAATGTAAATCACTTAGGAATATTTCAAATATATTTTAAAGGAATATTACTTAAATAGCCCCTAACGCTGACTTAAATTATATTTATTATATTATTACTTAAGCCACTGCTGTCAAAGCAAATCCTACGTATAGGCAAAATAAAACAAAAGCTTCTCATTTTTATAGGTCAAATGAAAAACAAACCCTGAGAATGAAACTAAAACAAGCAATATTATTTTAACACAATGTAGAATTTGTGGAAATGATTGGCAGATCATGAGGCTCTCAAATTTGGCACACATGAGCCAACACCATTCATCAGTTTTCTCTGTTTATAGTCTCACGATGTTCTCTAGATTTCACTTGCCAAATATATCTTTACACAAATACTCCTCAGCACATTTCTCTTTTGCTTGTGTCAAGCAAAACAATACTGTACTCTTTTGCATCCACATGATTGGAAAAAGAAAGATAAGCATACCTCTCAATATAACTTGACAATCCTATACCATACAGTGAGCAGATGGATAGCCCAGTTTATGTTTGTATTATTATTATTATATTTACATTGTATTGAACAGACATGACTTAAAATTGTTATAGGTTAATGGATTGTTAATGGATCTGCAAACAAAAATGAGAAACTAAATCAAGAAGCTTAATATAAGATTTTGCTTTCTTCATAATTTGGTGAAATCTGCAATTTGTACAGAAACATTATTAAGCAAAGAAGTTTGGTAATACTGATGAGGAGCTTTGGGTTATTTTTTAGACTGCAAGATGTTCTTGTACACTTAATATCATTGACAAATTGAAAAAGTCTGATGCCACAAATTTAAATTATGGAATCAACTTCTAACCTTTTGTTCCCTCTAACTGCTTTGTCTCCCTTCTTCCAAGAGATGGTTGGTTTTGGAGAGCCTTGGGGCTTACACTCCATGGTGACTTCTTGGCCTTTGGTAACAATTATTGTTTTCTTCAATTGATCCAGTGCAAAAGCGGGAGCTGAAGCTATTAAAAAGAAAATGTTAGTTGTACCAAATGCAATGCCAGTTTTCTCTAGTGGATGTTTCATCAAGATTTTGCAACTTTTTGCCTGAGATTCACTTTTAGTAATCATATGATATCTACACATGCTCGTTAATTAATTAATTTATTCATGGATAGGTATTTTACTGGCTGCACTTTTCACCCACAAGTAATGATTTCATACAAGGTGAGTTCACAAAGTTTGTTTTGAATATGACATGCTTTATATCATGATTATCAACTTTCATGGCGAAGACGCATGAGCAGCTTGGCCATCATAAGCTTAGAGGCCATCAAGGCATGCTGCTTGGCCTTTCTTAGGAAAAAGGATGGTTAAGTGTGGTAAAGGCAGTTTTGTGTCTTAATTTTATATACATTTTATTTTAATATAATATAGAATTAAATATAGTATCAACAAATTTTAAATGAAATATTCACCCTTTAAAAACAAATTTATCTTATTAGTTGTGATTATTTATATAGGTTTGATCATTCATTAATATCAACATTATTTTAACTGACCTTTCCTCATGGCACATGTTAATCTAAAAGAAAGCTAAACATATGTGCTACCCTGGTAGCATTCTTAATGATAATTTCCAGGTTACTTCCTATGCATTTTATGTCAATTATATAACAATACAGCACATGGCACAGTGCCAGAAAAATAACCATATACATGCAGAGTGATGTGCAATCGATTGGAAGACAATAAAGACATGAATAGGGCAGAAAGCAATAACACTTTGTTTACTTACTGGGAATAGAACTTCCAACAGGTACTTTGTGAGAACAGATGCAATGAATGAAATGGAGCACATGTGCGAGAGGGTGTGGGTAGTTACCAACTAGGAGAGGGCTGGAGCTGAATCAACTCTTTATGGAACCAGTATTAGCACTGCACAAGGATATGCCACTGAACAAAGGGTAAGCAAGCCCTCAAAGTGCATAAAATAAATGTACTCGACTGGCCCAAACAGTTTCTATCCCAGAAGTCTACTGCAGTGAGTTGTCTTTCCCTAGTGTCTAAAGGTTAGGGAGGACACGCTAGTGCCAGATTACATTCCAACCCTAGCTGTGCCCTAGGACACTGGGGGGCTTAGCTTCAGAAAGACTTTCCCTCTTAGGGACCATAGCGCCCATGGCGAGAGGGTGATTCTCTTTGGAGTCATGCCTTGCAAGAACCACGTGCCTAATGAATAGAAGGCATTCCTTGCTCATATTAATCCCTGCTAGGAGAGGACTCACAGGAGCTCTGATGGCGTAGTGAGTGCCTCGTGCTGCTAACCCAAAAGGTCATCATTTCAAAACCACCAGCTGCTCCTGGGGAGAAAGAGGAGTCTTTCGATGCCTGTAAATACAGTTTTGGAAAACCACAGAGACAGTTCCACTCTGTCCTCCCGGGTCACCGTGACTTGGAAAGGACTTGATGGCAACTTTGAGCGTACGGGAGGGTTCTGAGACTACCAACAATCTGCTTCTGGTCCCCTAAGATAACATGGATTTTTATATGTGATTTTGATTAATCCTATAGGAAAGAAATTATGTAAACTTTGGAAGTTAAAAGTCTACATAGGACAACCTTATAAAAGAAGTTATGAAACAACTATGCACAAAGTAAACCTGGAAGCGCTAGCTTAAAAAAAAATCAGCAAGAAATAATATTTCGTATCAAGCCATACAATAGACATTTGGAATCACATCATAAAACTTCAGTACAGTTAGAATGAGAGCATGAAAAGAGGCCACCTTTCCCCTTTATTTACTTAGAAGTTGCATACCTAGAATTCTCAGCTCTGCACTGGCATAAATGACTCCATACTTATTTTCAGCCAAACACTGATACATCCCAGCATCTGATTGATTCACATTGCGGATCATCAATACTCCATTAACCATCTCAACCCTACTCTGTAATGGAATAGAAAACAAATTAGGCCAGAAAATAACCAAACGATACAGGTATTATGGGTTCTCTCCCCTAGGCCACGAGAAGGAAAACCCTTAAATGAATGAATTTAAACATTATTTGGTAAGTTAGCAACATTTAATGTTCATTATATCATCTATCTTATAAACTAGGTACGTCTTTTCATTGGAAAATAGGTAATACTTATATTTGTCTGGAGTTTTTCATCTAAGTTTCAGTTTTGCTTTGAAATCAAGCTGTCCCTTTGGCACACTACTTTAGCTTGTGAAATACAATTAGAAGATAAAGCAGTATATAGCAGTCTTTTACAAATGAGGAGCTGGGGTCCACTTGGAAAACAAGAGTTGAAGCTGTAGAGCCATACGACCAGGGTTAAAAAGCAAAGAAGATCATGACAAGACTCCCCTTATTGTACTGATCCAATTAAGTGTTTCTTTCTCTCCCTTCATAAGAAACTAACCCACACGTAAACACAACAAATAAACAAAATTATAAATCTGTCCTGCAAATGGATTTTATGTACAATGATTTGTCTAAAGCTCAAAATCCCTTTAATAGAATAAATTTCATATAGGAGACAGAAAATTTATCAGGTAAAAACTGAAGTAAAGACAAATCATGAGCACATTTCTAAGACATATTGAAGTATGCTAAACACTATATTGTGTTTTGTCTACAAAGTCCCAATCAAGTAATTGAAAATAATTAGTGGGTAGTTCTTTGATTATCTAGGGATACTAAGTAGTTCTACACTTAGTAGAATGTTCAAAATACTACATTAAAATAGTTTTAAATATTTTTACTTGGGCCCTGGGGCTATGTAATATGACTAACAGGGCCTGTTTTTAAGGCTTATCAGGTAATCTAGAAAAAGCACCGAGAAAGAACCTCGGTGCCCGAGAATTTGCCAGCCAGTTCTCTTTAACATTTCTGCCATCCTTCTAATTTGTGTCCTTTTGTGTAGACATCATTTGTTTTGGCCTAAATAATTTTAAAATAAGAGAATGCTGGAGCTGAATAGAAGTATAGGTATTATTGGATCCTCTTATCTTCGTTTTACAAAGGAGAAAATTAAGGCCCAAAGAGGTAAACAACAGGGAAGTGGTTCCTTCAGTAGTGACAGGACCCATGCAGAACCATTCTGCGACTCCATTGTGCACACTTTCTCTTTCCTGGCCGTCCACAGACGTGAACTACTTATCCACCCCACTTACCCCCGAAGCCACAGCAACAACTACAATGTTAAGTTATGATAATCATTTCGATGCTGAAATGATTTATTTTAATTAACTTATTTAAAAATCTAATATCGGTTAAGTTGCTTTAAAATTATACAGTGGATTTACAGGAAGAAATGAGTATTTTAATGATTTAATAATAAATTAGTGTAAGACAATAGGATGCTATATAAAGAAGCCCAGGAAAGAAGGACTGTGCTCCACTCTCATTCTCATTGTAGATGTGTGCTCCTGAACTGGACACGTTGCCTCTGGGGAGGATCACCATCGTGTATAATGGCAGCAACTAACTGGATGAAATCCAAAGGCAGCTTCAAATGGCCAAAATCCTATGGTAATCAATGATCTCTCCCGATGAATTTAAAGGATGGGAAACCATAAAGGTATGTATTATCCCCAAAGGTAACAAGATCACAACACCAAGATAAGTTTTTGTTCCTATATTAATCAATCATTCTCAATCTACATATAAGGCCAAAGTAGACAATGGTTTTCATGAAAACTAAAAGAAAGATAGGCTAGCTTTTCTTGTGTGAAATGCTGCCAAAAGTTGTCCTGGGCGGAGTTAATGGTGAACCACAGTACCTGAGGCAAGAGGGGGCCCCCATTCTTCAGCCACCGGTAAGTGGGCCTGGGTTTCCCAGTGGCTTTACACTCCCAGCGCAGAGGGCTTCCGCTGTCGAGATGCGTGTCGTTGAGTTTTTCTATCCAATGTGGGTAGGCTGTAAGTATTCAAGCATTAAAGAAAGATGACTTCATCTCGCCAACACGAATTAACTAGTTCAAATTTCACATGGAAATGCTCGATGGAACTTTTCAGTAATTCATTGATCATAGGTCCTTGGGAGAAACATAGAACTCTATTTACTGCGTTAAAATATGGCAGTGACATATTTTGAGAATTTAATGTGGTTTTGTAAGGAAAATACATGTTGTTGTTTTCTTTACCCACTTTACAGCAAGCGGTTTGCTTCTCCCTGAAGCAAAAGAGCTCCTTTAGTGGAAGTCAGGTGCCTAGGAAGAGGTATTAGTCTTTCAAAGCATGTGCTTGAAGCACACGTTGAACTAATAACGCAGTCCTGTTTACCGAGTAACTTCTGCCTCTTGAGGCCCGAAACCTGTGGAAAGCGCTGGAAACTAGAAACCAAGGTGTTTCCTGCCTGAGCTTCATGGCGCCTCCTACAGGGACTTGATTAATCGGTGACCAAAGCCCCACTTTCAGACTGGAAACTGACTGAGGAGGGGACATTGTTCATTGGAAAGTCTGCACAAGCAGATGGTTCTGCCTCCGAGGTGCTCGTTCTTAAAACTGACACGAAGACCCTTTCTGCGCCAATGAGCCGTAAAGAACTGTTCCCTCCACGCTTCCGGCTGGGAGCTCGTGGGGGCGGCAGAGGAGGTGGTGGTCCAGGAGAAGCGGGAGCGGGCAACCAAGGGCCCTGCCTGCTCCGTGGGGAGAACTCTCTGGGTGCCTGCCTCTCTGCTCTTGAACGTTGAACTCGGAAACCATTAGCGTGAGCGTTCCCTCAGCCATGTAGAAATTTCACGAGTTAATTCAAGGGTGGAAAGATTTTGAAAGCCCTAGTCTCAGGGTACGTTTTCAAACTGGGGCAATGGTTCACTTTAAATTAAAAAAAAAAAAAGAAAAAGTTTTTTTTTAAATCCTAAGAATTAACTGATACCAAAAATGCTTTGTCGTCAAGCATGAGGTTCATCAATTTTTTTACATCTAAGCTGCATCTACAGCTGTGTGGTACATTTTTAGGCATGTGCTAGGTTTCTGGTAAAATTTTGTGTAAATATAAACATCATACCACCCTGTCAGTTTTTGTCTTAATAAAACTATAGATTTCTACTTAAAAAAAAGAAAGAAAAGAAATTAAGAAAGACATTTGTAAGTGCCAATATACAAATTCCAATATCCAACACATGCCTGGATACGGTATCAGCAAAGGTAAATACCATGTATACATATCATCTGTCTAAAAACCATATATTTATAAATATAATTTATCAATATTGCTTAATAACAAAACACTAAAAAAGCCTTTCAAGATTATGAGTTAAATGAAAGTTCCAATATTAAAATAGAAATAATAACTAAATTTATGAAATCTATAATATACACGTTAAAGTCTTTCCTCTAGTGATTGGTTTTTAAAATAAAAATAGTGCCTACAAGTATTTGTCTACAAGTGTTTTGTGCAAAAGAGGTAAAGTGAGAACTATGCAAAAATATTGAACTAAGTTCATTATCTTTCTCTAGCAATTTTTGGGGTATAAGATTATAAAATATTGTATTTTATCTGTGGTAGTTTGAAATTGAAGTATTCGGTCATTCATTTGTCCATTGTCCTCATGTTGCTTTGCCTTCACTTACTCCTATGGGCTGTTAGGAAAGCAAGCTCATTGGTCCATGTTTAAGGAGTGTCTGCTGAAGTAGGTCTAAAGTCAATGACGAGTACAGCAGGAAGTACCACGTGCTGAAAGGAAGTCCATTTGAATATCAAAATAATGAGTCCAAAGACACACTAGGTGTTCACAACCAAAGATCGTCAGAAAAGGGAACACGAAAAAGAAAAAGAATTCTCTCCCTCTTTTTTTAAGTGGCTACTCTGCCCTACATGGAGGACTGGTGGCAGCGTGCCTTCCTCGATGGGGTCCTCACAGCAAAGCCAGCAAGTTGGCACTTCAGATGCTTCCGTTTGAACACCCGGAGCCCTGCAGCAGAAAGAAGACCCTGTGGACTCAGTAAACTTCCACAGCCTCAGAAGCTCTAGGGAGCCATTCTCATCTATAGGGCGGCCATGAGCTGGAATTAACTCTGTGGCAATGGGTTTAGAGTTTTTATATCCTAGACAGAGTTCCAAGTTTCAAATTGTGTAACATTAATCCTGGAAACAAACATTCCAGTTTCTGAATAATTAAATAAAAAGGTGCCTCAAGAGGTTAAGTAAATTTCCCCATGTGCATGTAGTTAACTAAGATAGTTAACTAAAGATATAATTCACTTTCAAATTCAGGTACAGTATTTCTGATTCCAGAACACCTGCATTACTCTCATCCCACCCTGACAGAGCCAAAGCACTGGCAGCAATTGCTCTATTCACCTGAACTCTTGTGCCTGGTTTTTGGAAAATATCTCTCTTTGCAGTTGCACGTCTTATGTGCTACAAATACTGGTAGGAGTTGTAAGACACAAAAAGTGTATTAAATATTATTTCAACACTTTACATTTCTATAAACGTTTACATCCTACACTCCTGGATTATTTTATATGATGTACATGGTCCCAGTACTTCAAGTAGATGAGCTTGCTGTCTCCCAAGTACACCTTGTATTTTGTTCCAGGTATTCATGCCATCAGGGAATTAGAAACCTCTCTTCTCTATCCCTTTAGCTTCCAGTATAATTCAAGATTTAGCCTAATTTATGGAAAATATACTAAACCCCACTCCAAGTAGCAATCATTTCGTAGCTTGTTCATAAATAACTCTCTCTAGTTTATGAATATTTGTGCCATAGCTATTCTACTTATATAAAATCTATATTTACATATATGTATATATATATGGTCCATAATTTTAAAAATTTAATCACAGTATCAATTAGAAAATTTTTGTCTGTGTCTCCGGATGCCATATGTAATTAGTATATACAAACTGCTTATTATTTAATTTAATAAAAGTTTTGAAGCAAACCCAAGAAATCACAAACACGCACATGCATTCAAACACAAAAATACACACCCACCAGCCATAAGTAGAATGTGCACATTCTATGCATTATAATGGAGTTAATCTCCATACAGCAGATATAAATGTTAATAATATAATTGAATAAACATTAATAAACATTGAAGCTATTTGGATTTTGAATTATCCTTCAGATAAAACTGAAGAACTCACTACCATCAAGTCATGGCTGACTCAGAGCGACCTTCTGGAAGGTTCTGAGACTGTAATTGCTCATGGGATTACATGTCCATTCTTTTTCTGCCGTTGATGGGCTGGTGGTTTCGACTCGCCGACCATGTGGCTCACAGGCTAACACTTTACCACTATACCACCAGGGCTCCTCTTCACTGAAGAAAGTGATGCTCAATACAAGATAAGTCTTATTCCACCTAGATTTTGTCATGGGAAGATATCTTATAAACCACTAAGTTTCTATTAGGTAAATTAAAAAGAGTGCAAAAGAAAATGATAGAATTATAAAATTTTAAATGTTAAAAATTTTTTTTACAAAGTTCAAACAATGGAAAACTGAATTATGGCTGAAGAAATTTGTTTCATGTCATGATACATAAAAGAAAATAAACCAACCCAAACTAAATCCATTACCATATAAATGATTCTGACTCAGCAAACCTTATACTGGGTTTCTGAGACTGTAAAGACTATAAATATTTATCAGAATAGACAGCTTCATCTTACTTCTGAGGAGTAGCTGGTGAGTTTTAATTGCCCACCTTCTAGTTAACATAACAACTTAACACTTAACCTACCAGATCAAAACCAAACTCATTGCCGTTGAGTTGATGCTAGCTCATAGTGATCCCATAGGGCAGGGTAGAACTGCCCTGTGAGTTTCTCAGACTGTAACTCTTTACAGGGGTAAAACACTCCAGTTTTTTCCTGCAGAGATGACCGGTGGTTTCAAACTGCTGACCTTGCAGTTAGCAGCCTACTCCGTCAGGGCTCCTTCACTTTACCTACCAAACCAAACCAAACTCCCTGCCATCTACTCAATGTTGACTCATAGTGACCCCATTTGGGTTTCTGAAACTGCAACTGTGTATGCAGTAAAAAGCCCAGTCTTTCTCCCATGGTGGTTTCAAACTGCCAACCATGTGGATCAGAGTTCCAGAGGAACCACTACACCACCAAGGCTTCTAGAGCACATATAAATTGCTTAGAACAACAACAAAATAATTGCCTGTGTAAATAAGCACAACAATGTTGCATATCCAAGTTTCCTTTGGCAGAAGCTTTCAGTGAGTGAAATGGAAATGACTTTGGATTTTAAATAATCAAGTGGAGTTAATATACAAATAGACGTATTCTAGATGGCAAGGCAACAATGATCCATCAGAGAAAGGAAAACCATGGCGGGCCAGATTTAAAGCAAACGGAGTACCTTCATCTATCTAGCGTTTGGCAGGTCACCTATTTTAGGGTGTGGAAAACTGAGGGTACAGATGGTATTTTCAATCCAGAAGCTGTCGAAATTTCACCAGATGCACTGTGTATTGGCAACTACTTGTGCAATGCATCTGAGTTTCAGTTCAGTCTCTAGGTAACATTTTCAAAACTCTGAACAGATGTGCATAAGAAAATTTTTGCTTATTATGTATATTCTGTAGATATCTACTGATAAATGCTGTGTTATTAGCTTCCTTTTCTGCTCATGTACTCTTAAGTATTAAGGAATCCACATATCCTACCCACCTTGACCACTGCAGTACTATAACTCTCATCTGTAGAAAGGACTATGCTGTTGTGTGGCATCCTGGAGTCGGTTTGACTCATAGTGACTCTATGCAAACACTGCATGGTCCAGCACCATCCTCACAATTGTTTCTATCCTGGTACCCATTGGTGCAGCCACTTTGTCAATTCTTTTTGTTGTGCCTCGGCTTTACCTCCTAATCCACGAACTAGTCTTTCTTGACAACATATCATGTAAATGCTCTAAGGAGCGCTCTGGCCGTACTTCTTCC